GTAACGTAGTATAAAAAGTAACTAAATGGTCACTTGCAAAATCACTATAGCCACTTCATTGATTAAATGTTCTCCCTTTGCATTAAGGAGGACACATTTTTATCTCTACCTTTTATTTGAGTAATAGTCATTGTTTCCTTATAAAGTTCATTTCTTCTTTCAGATATTTCATATCTCTTTATTGCCGAAGGTGATTTTTGTAAACTAAAACTTATGGGCAATGATGTGACTGAAATTATTATGACTATAATTTTATGGTCACTACGATGTAAAATTTGAATATAATTATAGCTTCTGGAGTCGTCCGTTGTGTGAAATGTAGATCATCACCATTCTAATAATTATTAAGTCATATGTTTATCCATTGTCCTTATTTTGGTCATATCTTAAGAATTACTTCCTTTGTAATACTCAAAAGATAGCAAGTTAACAATCATTTTTATATTATTTTCAACAACAATGTAGCTCACAATTTTTAGTCACCACATCCCCATCTAAAAGACTAACAATCCATGTAGAACACTTTTCAACAATTTTGACATATTAATCATTTAATCCATTTCATACAGTATAATCTCCAACCTAAAAAAACTTATTTCTGCAAACAAAGTCTTAATATTATGATGTCAAAATTATATTGGGCATTTTCCTATCGCGCAACACGCGTGGAACAACTAGAACCGAAGAATATTTAAAAACTTATCTGATTTGGTTTGATTCAATTCGATGATTTCGATCTTGTCTAGAACTGTCACTATTTTAATACGGAGTAAAAAACATCCTTAATTGTGGAGCACCGAGCACGACACCACTCACCTTTTTAGATATGTTCTTATGATTTTTAGGTGATATGAACTTGCATGGAAAGGTCACATTTAAATACTCTTTTTTGCCCCCCCCCAAAAAAAAAAAGAAGTATTTCGATAGAACAAGTTAACTGTGCAAATTAAGTTTCAAGGACAAATAATTAAAAAAATATAAGTAGGATGGATGATTTACAATTAACGAGTTGTTCCTTATCAATATGTAATCAGTAAGATGGACGGACTAATAAACACTAGCACCTTGTAATTGTAGAACTGGAGATTAATTGTTATTGTTTTATTGCAGTATCTCTACTAATTTGTTAGCTCAACTGGACGCATTAATCCCATCAGGGCCTCCAGGGCAACAACGGAGAAGAATAGGTTTGTGCAATGACCTCTGAACTTGTTAGAACATCATTACAGTGTGCTCGCATTGGGCCTCACAAGATCTTGGTGTCTAGCATGGATTTTAAGCCCTTGTTTGGTGGATAGATTTGAGGGCTGATTTGGGAGGGGTGACATTTATTTCATTAATTTATAGTTACATATAGATGGTACTATGGTTGGGAAGGAAGTGAATATAACAAACTATATAAAGTACACGATTTAACATTTGACCTAAACTTATATGGAGTAGTTATATTTTGGCCTAAGACTAACATGATTTAATTAATCAATCAATAAATTATGTATTGGTTTCCTTATGGAATGTCAAAAGGTTTGTATTATTTCCACTTCTATGTTTCCGTCCCTATTAAAACATTTTCTTCCCACATAAACTGCAGAAAGTAATGAGCAAAAAAAGAAAAGAATTAAGGCTGATTCAGAAGTCACGAGGCTTTCTCCCAATATGAGAAATCAGCTGGAGTTCTTTTCTAGCCTGAAGGGTGAACAAGTAAGTGTGTTTGAGCTTTATGAAAAAATAAAGCATTTAATAGGTTCTTTTTTTTAGACAGAATTCAGTACTTTAGAAGCTATAAATGTATCCTTTCTACGTCACTCCTATTTTAGTTCACGACTTTCACTTTTCCCACTGTTGGTGCATGACTGGTTCCATACCACTTTTTGGTTCTTCTGACCACTTATTTGGCCGATTTTTGTACAATCTTCGGTCGTTTTTTGTTATGTCAGTGGCCGTAAATGACCAAAAGTGGAAAAAATGAATGCTAGGGACTAAAAGTGAAAATGAACTATATCTGCAAGATGACACAAGTGGGAAATTTTATTCTACAAATGGTTATAATAATAAAAGATTGAATTTTTATTATTTTGAAGGAATTAAACAGTGTTTAAGCGTGTATTTAAATGACAGGTGGCAGCTAGGGTCATTCAAGAGGACCCAGATAAAGATGAGTGGTTCATTGTCAAAGTTACCAATTTTGAAAAAGATACTAAAATGTAAGCACTGCTTATAAATTAGGTGTCTAAATGGTAAAAAGTTCAGAAAATTCATACACCAACAACTTATAGGTTAAGGGAGGGATTAATGCACTAAACCCCCTCGTGAAATATGATTTCGGCACATTAGCCCCTTTTGATGTAGAAAATGCGTCAAACCCCCCTGTGTTATGTTTATTCATGCGCAAAACCCCCTTCTATGAACAAATTTAAATGCCAAAAAAAATGAAAAATGATCGTTTTTTTTTTTTTATAATTTAGTAATTTTGACAAAGTTACTTGCATATTCAATCATATTATTAAGAAAAGTGATTTCGAAATTGTAAAATTTGTTCTTGGAGGGGTTTTTGAGCTTGAATAATTATAATAAAGGAGGGTTTGACACATTTTTTTAAATCACATGGGCTAATGCGCCCGAATTTATATTTCACGATGGGGTTCGGTGCATTAAACCCGTTAAGGGAAGTGGTGTTACCTCATGTATATACTAGATTCAAACCTAGAAGAAAATGGATATGTGGCAATCAACAACCCCTTTAACCCAATCTGTACTGGACAAATGAACCTAAACCTACCCCAAACGGTTTGCCCTAAACTAAAGTGTCTAGGCAGCCCACAGACCACTATCACACCAGATAACCCACTCAAAAGGATCCCCAAGGGATGAGGTTTGCTTCACAATTATAGATCAGATTCAAAACCTGGTAGACAGCTAGTCGGTTATTCTATACAAAGAAACAGGGAGATCTGCTTTTGTCCTATTGCTTTTGTTCACAGTATGCTTCATGATGTATGTGTGCACATCTGTAGGTTTGAAGTTCTGGATGAAGAACCTGCTGATGATGAGGAAGGTGGTGGTCAGAGGAATGCTGTTCCACTGTGAGTTTGTAAAACTACCAAATATGGCTGAACTCTTTATATTATAGTTATATAGTACTTACATCAAGTCTTTCTGCAAACTTGTTTTCCTAAAGAAGTATTGTGCTTTATGCCTTTAGCTTTAGGCTATGTCTGGATTTCATCGTCTTTATATAATGGAAATATATAACTAAATGAGTTTGAACAACAACATCCAAACCTTAATCCCAAAAGAATAAATAAATGAGTTTGAACTTTGAACAAATATCTAAAATTCAGTTATTGAGATTGAACCAATTTCTTACTTTTCACCAAAATATCTTTCATTCCAAAATTCTCTTGTAGTTTCCTTCCTATTTTCTATCACCATCATTTTCCCTGTGTCAAATGGACCAATTGTCATGTCACATATGTGGTTTTTCGGTCTTTAGTAACTGATATGCTTTTTCTACTGTATTTTCTGGACTGAATGTAGAAACTTTTTCTGTTCTACGTATGGATTGATATATAAAATTATTTCTCTTAGTTTAATAGTGGAACTAAGTCCACTAGCTTAAACAGAATCAAACATTTTACTCTCTTTGCTAATTTCAGAAAGTACAAACTTCCATGGTCACATATTATACCTTTCCCGAAAAGGAATGAGCCATCTAGTACTCCAGATTTTCCTCCAGGCAGGCAAGTTTTGGCGGTTTACCCAGGAACCACTGCCCTATACAAAGCAACAGTGCTCCAATCTCGTAAGGTAATTACTCGTTTATGTATTTGCAGTAATGTTAACCTCATTTTGTCATATCATGATATTGACATAATCTATTGCTTCATTTCATGTTCCCACCATTTGTCTTTTACTTTCCAGAAGAAGACTGATGAGTAAGTGATCCCTTTCCTTAAACTTCTTGATTACCTACTTCTATATATCTTAAATTGGTCGATTAGAAAATGAATGAGTAAGATTGTGCCATTTGCTATAATTTTTTTTTTTTTTTGCTGATTAGCCATGTGAACTAGATTTTCTACCAAACGTCTACTTCGATTGCATTGTCATATGATAATAGAAAAAGGTAGTGCGATAGTTTTTTTCTTTCTGAAAAGCAAGAAAATGACATCTTTACCCGTATTTTCAGGCATTATTGGCCGTACTTAACTTATAAATGCATAATTTTTTTTATTAAAATTGATTTGCATTTAGATATTTCAGCAAGATGTTGACGGGTTCCGGTTCTAGCCAGAATTGGAACCGATATTGGCTGTTAAGAACTGGACTGGAATTTAACCAATCTATCTAGGATCAGAGCTCAAATGGACTGTTAAATATACTTGTGTAAGTTGTGTTTGTGGTTCTGGTTTCAATTTTATCAAATAGAGGATCATAATGGGATCACCTGAAAAAGTATAGTATAAAATCATGGTCATAGCCGGAATTGGCTGAATGATTCAGCCAATTCAACTATTTCAACCATAATTTTTGAAAATCCAGTCAATTCAACCACTTCAGTCATTTTAGCAAAGTTTTACCAGTACCAGACAAGCTTATGTTATACAACGTCAGCCACGCAAGACACCTTACTCTTCGTTTCTGTATAATGAAATATGACATGACTTTTCTCATTGTAACAGTTACGTTTTAGAATTTGACGATGATGAGGAGGAAGACGGATCTCTACCTTCACGATCAGTACCCTTCCACAGGGTAGTTGCCCTTCCAGATGGACATCGCCAGTAACTTAACTAGACATTATATTTGCATGTTCCCTTGCAATTCCAAAATATAAGTTACTGGAAGAAAAGTCTACTAGAAGACCATGCTTCTTGTGCGTGTGTATTTATTTAGTTCATCCCTCAGAATAACACAATTACAGATTGATCCCTGCTGTATCGAATAATGGTATCAATTGTGGCCACATATATGTGTGTGTGAGTGCACACCCGTGTTTTGTTTGTACAGTACAGTCTTCTTAAGAGTTATATTTGGGCCTGACAAGCTCTTGTGATGGAGATTGGAGGGTCTGACCATGTCCCGTTCACAATATGAAGAGCAACCCATTTGTTAGCAGCTTCAGTATAATGTACGCCATCCCAGCTTATTACGCTAGACGGCTCCTCACATGATCCTGCATACACCTCCGTTGTCCCGTTTGTTATCCCGCTGTGCCCACACCAAACATCGTATCTCTTATCATGGTATCCACAACAGATCTTGGACGGGTCTTCAAATCCTGTGTTTTTTCATACAAAAGCACTGTAAATCACTAGATTTGAGTATGTAATTACATGATATTATTATTATAAATGACAGAGTATACAAAGTTGATGTTTTTAGGCTGGTTTTGTTTTACTGTGATTTTGTAAGCGTATGTCCGTGTGGTATTGGTGTGAATAACAAAATTATATGTCAGGGTTGGCTAAAACCTGCTGCACAACAGCACAAGTACAACTTTGTTACAAAAAAAGCATGTTAGATCTCGTATGGTAATCTCTACATGTATTTCTGAATGATCTTGATGATTATGATGAGCCGGGCAATGAATGGAACGGATTGGATTACCTTGATCCTTTGCACTCCCAATCAATGTGTACTTGGCTTGGAACATGTCTACGTAGGTGAGTGCAGCTCCTGAGAGCTCTGTTCTTAACTGAACAACCCTGTCTTCTAGTTGCTTGTTGAATTCCATGGCTGCTTCATTATGGCTTCTCACACAACCCTTCTCATCCAACTCTTCCCTGTTGGCCTTCACCGCGTATACAGGTAAACATCCTATTGGTCCCGTGTTGTGTATCCAAAAACTCCGCCCCCCTCTATTATACAAATCCTGCAACCATTCAGCACTAATCAGCAAAAGTCATTAACTCATTACTCTCATGAGTACCACCATCATTGTGATTTATTGTTAACACGCTCAAACTTCCAATTCTGGCGATAACAAACCCATTTGATTGAGGCTGGGTCATAGAATAAGTGACACGGTTCATATATAATTAAGAAAAAAAGCAGCAAGTGTCAAAGTTATTTTACACTTTCAAGTATAAAGGAGTTTGAATTTAACTTACAACAACATTGGCAGCTAGGTGGTTTACAATGTTGGGTGTGGTGTTCCGGAGTTGCTCCAAACCCACTCTCAACCCAGCGGCTATATCATTTTGGCCAATATCCACCGTGTAAAGTGCTTTTGAGAAATCGCCCGGCACCGGCAGCCTATCTCTTTCACTTTTTTCTGGCAATGGCATGCGATTAAGCTCGGTCTCTATATATATATAGTACGTGATATATGTATGATTATGGAAACTAGCTATCTAGCCTGGGGGGCTGGGGTAACATACATCGTAATAAACTAATGATCATAACCAATATCTATAAATAATACATTTCAAAGATACAATTATAGAAAGTTTTGCCATGTGTCATCTTCTAAATAAAAGTTTATTATAATATTTTAAATTCCCTTTCCAATTTAGTATATGAATTAATTATATTACGTCACTTTGCAATTTATGTTATACCAGGATTAGAATTCTCCTTAATCCTTATACGTTAATTTAGTATTTAGTTTATGGAATTGTACTCAAGTAAGAATACTTCATGGGACCCACCCAAAAAAAATCTCTCAATCTTTTTAATTGATATAACTTTTTTATTTGTAATTCAATTTTTATAAAAAATATATCAAAATTAATGATTTTTTATTATCTTTCATATGACACCAATATTGCATATGTAAAAATAAAATTAATTTTATACGTAAAAAATATGGAAGTTTTAGGCTCAAAACATTTTTGAGACATAGATTGCCTTAAATATGAATAAAACATTTTGAAATTCTGAAATAGGATTTTAATGTTTGCATTCCCTAAATATGAGTAATTTCTACCAAGTTTGAAAAAAAAAATTAGCAAAAATTGTCATGTTTAAAGTTTGATAATGTCAAATTTTACACAAATTACTCTTATTTAGGGAATAAATTTAGGGAATAAAAATGATGCAGTCCTATTTTCGAATTTCAAATCTTTTTTCTCTCCACTTTAGGGAACTTATCCTTTTTAAAATAGATCCAAGCTTTAAATTTGAGATCTCATTATTATATACCGTAAATTCATGCTGCAATACACTACAAAAAAAAGGCGCGATTGGCACGGAATTTGGCACGGACTTATCAATTTTTCGTGCCAAATAGCTCGTGCCAAAGTGTTTTTGGCACGGATTTGGCGTATCCATGCCAAAATCCCTGCCAAATCCGTGCCAAATTCCCTGCCAATCCCGTGTTTTTTTTGTAGTGAATAAAGGCATATTAAGATCTAAAACATTTATCTAAAAATAACTAAAATTGAAACAACAAAATAAGTCAATTAAGACTTTTTTTAATAAAAAAACATAAAGGACACTTGAAAGACAGGAGAAAGTAGAAGCTACATCTTTGGGACACCCAATTTAAAAAACTTTACTAATGCCGTGCACGGGATAAAATGATTTCGTTTTTAGTTTTAATTACTACTTGAAAGTCAGTTATCTATAGCATTAGGCCTTCTAGGTTTTAAAATTTTGCCAATTAGTCCTTTGACCTCTTTCTTTACGAAAAGAGCTTAGAATATATAGTTTTGTGACATCCCAATGAAAAATCCTTAATTAGAAAGACGAACACAAATCTAAGATAGCATTTAGGCAAATGTAAATTTATCAAATTTTAACACATACAGATTTGCTTTTTTAATTTTCCCCACTTTCATTTACGATGTTCCACTCTTTATCCAATTTTAGGAATGATTATGAAGTTATTAGATAATTTTTAAACAATTTTATTGTAACGATTTTAAGTGCTAAGAATATTTTATTCTCATATATTCCAGTTTAATATATTTTTTGTTTAGTATATGTAGTTATTAGATTGAATTAAATAATTTTTGCAGGGTTATTTTTCTCCAATTGCTCTAACTCTTTATATTTATAATTTGATTTTTACAAAAGAGTATTCCTCTATCCCATTTTATATGTCCTACTTTCTTTTTTGGGTTGTCCGAAAATAAGTCTCTTATTTCTTTTTTTGGAAAGAAATATGTGATCTACAACATTTCACTTTATTATACTCAAACATCAACCACAACATTTACTTTTTCAACCACTTCATTAAAATCGTGCCAAGTCAAACTAAGACACATAAAATGGGACCGAGGTAGTATCAAAATTTACAATTTATTATTATCTTCATCAATATGACACCAGTATTACATATCGAACAATAAAAAAATATCTAAATATACCGTTGACAGAGGTATTTTATTTATTGCATGAAAGTGTCAATAGGAAACCCTTCTAATCCACTTAATTTTAAAAGTTGGATCCATTTAAGACAAATTTTGAGACTAAAACCCTCCATCAACCGTATATTTAGATTCATTTTATTTTTATATATATGCAATATCGATGTCATACGAAAGATAATAATAATTTATGAATTTTGATACATTTTTTTTTCTAAAATCCGTATTATAAATAAATTAAGTTATACCAATTTTAAAAAATAGAACTTTTTAGCGTGCTTTGTGTTTTCTGATTATTAAGAGAAAAAGTCGTTAACTGAGCTTTTTGTTGATTCGATCGATTTGAGTTGTTTTCAAATAAATGTTTTAAAACTTAATGTCCCCTTATTGACACTTTAGCCGGTAGATAACATGGCCCCCAAGTGCAGCATGTCCAAAATTATTTTTATTTTTATATATACAATATTGGTGTTATAGGAAAAATAATAAAAGATCATAATTAAGTTTTACCAAAGAAGATGTCAATATCAAAGCTTTGTCCAAAAGAGTGAAACTGATCCATTGTTACAGAAAACTCATTTGGTATCTCACCATCTCGCCAAAGAAGGACCGAACATCGACCTCATATTTGATTCAGTTTAGAATTAAAACTTATAAATTGGAATATGGGTTAAACTAAATTAGTTCAATATAGAATCAAAAGTTATATTGAAATGACTATATAAATCTAAATAATGTTTATTTAATGAGGATTTCGACCATTACAATTGTTTTACAAACGATGACCAATAATACTCCTTCCATTAAAAAAAACTAATACTCCGTATTCTTATAATCATTATTTCATTGCAATCTTCTTCTCCCTAGATATATTCCACCATCTTTTTAGAATATTTAGGATGTTTTAGCTGGATTAGTTTCAGTCTCATACCAAATCTAAACAGAACATAGATTAAACCTGACTAGACTTTAATGGTTATAAAATATATATAGAACAAATATCTACCAATGTAAACCCATTCAAATCAAATTAGAACATAATAGATTTAAACAGATCAAATCAGATTAGAAAATTTTAGACAAATTAAAAGCACCCTTACATGACATTTATATGTGAAAATACAATTTGACTCTAACAATTATACACACAATTTTACTCAAACATAATTTCACTAGGCTCTTAAAAAAACCACGCAAACACAAATTATGAAATTAACACAATTTCAATAGACTCATAAACAATTAATAATCGATTGCAATTATTAATCTTCTTATTCACTACTATTTATTTATCTTCCTATTCTCTGCTAATTTAATAATTACTTTTAATTACAACCTCACTTAGAATTAATAAAAACTTTGTAGTAAATTTCATCCGGCTCATTGTTTTACCTAAACAAAAAAGTGCTTAGTGCCTATTTTTATCCATTAAATTTCATCTGGCTTATTGTTTTTTTCAAAACTAACTACACACGTTTGTAATTTATTTATCTAAAAATGGGTATAGTCATGAAAATGCTCAATGCCTATTTTTATCCATAAAATTTAATTCGTGGCTTATTATTATTTTTCAAAACAAAACTACACACTTTTGTAATTTATTTATGATCTTAAATGGGTGTATTCAATTAATTTTGAAGATATTAGTCCTTATTTTTCTTTACCGATAATTCAAGTATATATTGAGAAATAGTTTTGATAAATATATACTCCATCCGTCCTCTTTTAAATGTCCCGGAAGAAGGTGTCACGAGTTTTAAGAAAAGTGGGTTTGTGTGGTTGATATTAATTGATAAAGTAAGAATAAAGTAAGAATGATTTTGAGCCACACAAACTTTACCAAATAAGGTATGAGACAATTAAATAGGAACATCCCAATATGGTAAAACGGGACATTTAAAAGGGGCCGGAGGGAGTATAATTGGGCCATTGGAGATGACTATGGTGTTAAAGATGTATTATTTTTAATATGTGATTATTAAATTATCCTTAAAATGCTAATTATTTCATAAAATAGAAATGACAACTTTTACTCGCACAACCAAAAAAGAGAGTGAGAATCTTTAGTTGAGACGGAGGGATTAATAAACTTAAGTCCTACTAACACTACTACCGCATTCAATAGCCGATTTAGGAAAAAGTAACGTAACGGCGCTCCATTGTCTCACAGATGTTGGGGGTTTGTTAAAGGTTGATACACTATAATATTTTAGCAAGTAATTTTTGTTGTCCCGAAAACTTTCTCAGATTCATTTTAATCAATTAATTTATGGTTCCTATTATTTCTTTCTCATGTTCACAAATCTCAATTACACAACTTTTACATAATTATTCCTCATGCTCATCAACTTGGAAGTTTTATATGTGTTCACCTTTCTAATCAAGGACAATTTCAGTTGGAATCATATTTTTGTTCTGATCTACAAAAAGTAAAAGTTATTTTTTTACTTTAGTGTATCCAATAAATATTAAAATAAAAATTTATATATTTGTACCAAGAGTTTCAGATCTCTAGATGATTTATTAATTACATATAAATATAGCAATCATACCGTGATAGACATACTAAAGGTGGCATTTAAGAGCTAGATAAATAATCAAACTGTGTCTAAATGATCATTCTTTTACTCATGGATGTAAATTATGCAATAAAAATTTAAAAAGAAAGATGCTCCATATTGAGGGGTGACATTTACAATATCAGAAATACGGGTCTGACATTTCATTTTCGTGACTATTTCAGGAAGTAAAAGTGCGATTTTCCTTTATATATTTCAAACTTTTTTCTTAAAGAAGAAGTTTAAAGGATGACTAATTTTCTCAATTGTAAATCATAGGAGGTATAATATCTTAAAAAATATGACCACACCCATTATTAAAAAACATAAATTACAAAAATGTGTAGTTATAAGTTTTAAAAAAATAGGATGTTACATATGAAATCTAATGGATAAAAGTAGCT